GAATATTTTCCTTTCATCCAACCTTTTGTTCCATGCAGTACCACTACACTAAAACCTATGATAAGGACAACTTAGAAAATAATACGTTCAATCTGAATAAACTTCTGTTTGAGTGGATATGGGTAACCAGCTATCTACAATTTATAGCATTGGCTATAATAAACCCAAAATACACAGGTTTTTTTCATTTATTATTCATTATGTTTGTCATAATAAATAGTTTTTAAATGTATTTTGGGCTTCTTAGTCAGGTTACATAAGAAATTGAACGAACGGTTAAAACTGAAAGATCTAAGATAGACATAACTTGCTGATCTTGCTGATATCCAGCAGTAATTGTCACAAGTAAGAGGAGACAACTTTTTTCTCTGCTGGTCACAAGTTATTGTCACGTTTCATTAAAGCCAGATTGGAGCAGTTTTGAGCTTGACACATAACTTTTCCATTTAAGAAATAAATACGATAGATAATTTAGAATTTTAGAAGGGAAATCCATGTGCATTCAGATAAACATTCCACCTCTCATGACAAATGTGATTAAACTGCGGACGGTTGCACAACATCTCATACATAGTTGATGACTAACATTTCCGTTAAAACTATTCTTTCTTCGATCTCTATTTACCAGAAAAGGTCTTTTAGAATTTTTTTTGTAGAAATCCTAATTTTGATTGAGAAAAAACGTACTTTTAGAAATATCACTCAAAGACATTTTATCAAATACTCTGTGATGCAACTTATGTTTTCTTTTTACGTATGCAAATTTGAAATAACTGCAGCTAAAGTTGTTACCTATAAGACAATACAAGAAAACAATGGATGCAAAAATAATATGGAAACTAGCCTGGGCTTTTATTATTTGAGTTATATAGGTTTTATGCACTCAAATGGTAGACAACTATTAGTTACTCTCATAATTGTTTCGCCGAGTTCAACAGATGACAAATTCTAAGAAGAACAAATTTAAAATGGAAATGTGAAATCAGAATATTTAAGTGAGCCACTCAATGTAAATTATGGCTGTGCTAAATTACGTACTGTAAGAGCAATTTTAGAAAAACTTTATTCTCTCTTCAATCTTATGGTCAGGTTTTTATTGCTGACCCATTCTGTTATGTTACAAATTTCTTTCGCAAAAAATTATTTAGAATCATTTCTTTTCTAAGTGCTATAAAGTCACGCATGGGTAGCTAGTTCTCCTGGTAAATTACTCCCACAAAGAAGATGTTCTTTAACTCGAAGGATACTTAAACCAAATTTCTCTCCTGGCATTGCCGAGGTCCGGATGGTTGAGGGTTATCAAATCGAAGTTCTGCTCAAACTTTGGCTTTATACTCCCCTCTTCCACTCACTTGACCTCCTATTTTTGTCCCTTAGCCATTGTTCTCAAATATTCAGTACGTTCTTAAATAAGGCACAATTTTCTGCTGCCTAACAAAGTAAAATAGATAAGATTTCATATCTGTTAATGGCGAACATCGCGAACTCATGCATTTTACTCTAATTCAAGAATTGTATCCTCCGTGGTATGTAATCTATCTAATGCATGTGTGATTACTTTTGGTAATTCTGCTTTCGATAAAACTCGGCTCTAGAAACGGCAAAACTCCATGAAAATCACTTATTTGCACACAATACGAAAAATAAGATTTTTTTTTTCTTTCTTTCGTCTTTCTATAAACTAAAATAAGCGCTAATTTTTTTCAGATCAAGCAAATGAATTTAAAGATTTTCTCAGGTATTTCATCTGGAAATTTGCTCAAGGTTTTGTTTAATGACGACCGAGGTTTATGGAAGAATTCTGATATGATTATCTTCAGAAGTGCGGATAACATAAGTAGAGCATCTATAACTATCACTTTTAAAACTGTTTCATTGTGGGATAACTATGGAAACAAATTTTCAACCATCTAACTGTACGCAGCTTTGTGGGACTCAAACATTTATGAGTGTCGGAAAATAAATATTGGCCAAAAGATGTTGATATAAGTGAAGTCAATTGAGTTGTAGAAGTTTAAGTGTAATATGAAGTTGCAGTGAAATTCGTTTTAAACTATGATGATACTTTCCCTCTAAGGATACGACTGCCCTCATGGAACGAACCGTCAGTCAAGAGGTCACGCGATAGATGAAATTTTCTGAGCTTGATTGGCTCCTACCAATTTTTTCATTTGTATGGGACTTTGCTTCGCGTGCACTACAAACTCCGCTCTAATCGTTTGTTTCGCGATGTAGTCACTTCCAAAGTGGATCTCTTCTTCTTAGGTGTACAGTCCACAGCTGATTGAAGTGATTTCATCGTGAGACAAACAATTATAACATAACAACGAGGCACGCGTAACTCTAACCCTAAGCAACGTAAAGTTTTTCGCCTGCTTGTCCACTAGGAAAAAGGAGAAGTTGATGAATGTGAAACAGATCGTTGTTCTCTGGGTTGATATGGGTACGTTTCTTGTGTAGGAAGTTTATATAAACCCTCCTACCGGGACATATCCCTTTTCGAAAATGACCCATTTAGGCCACTTTAGACTCATGGGCAGGAGCCCACTCCTGTCATGGCTTTATTAAACCTGTTATTTTTAAATTCAGTTTACTTATTTTAGGTGACAATACCGATCTGAAGAGATGTTTCCTTAAAATTTTCTCTTATTCACTTGCATATGTACGCATGATGCACAAAAGATGAATCATGGAATTCCTTTGAGACCTGCAATGGGTAAACAAATTTTTAAAATGGTCTATTCTTGTCACTCTGATTGCAAATCACGGAATGAAGGTTTCCGTAGTATTTACGTTGGCTTGTGTCGCAAGCACAGCTTATTTGTGTCATTTATATAATGAATAATTCGGATAGAGGAGCACTATTTATTCTGAATGCAAAAGACTTGCAGTTTCAGCTTGCGAATATTTTTACAACGAAATAACAAAACAAAGAGCCCCATTCGCTCGCATTTCTTACCCTTGACTTCATAAAGAAAACTCTTGCCATTTTCAAACAAAAGTCCAAATTGTATACCAAAAAGCTAGATCAACACGGTTAGTAAAACTCAACCAATTTAATCAATTAGCATTACTTAGGTAATGAAAAATGCGGTCCGATTCGGATCGCAGAGCATAATAAATTCTGATCGATGGAAAGCAAAATATTTTTAATTTTACCTTGCCAATTTTGTTTGGTATGGATCAAGAGAACAAAGAGACTGTGCCAAATCTTACTTTTCGCCATTCAAATCCTTGCGAGTAATCGTGGAATCCGATAAAGTTTCCATCTACTCATTTCATCCAAATTATCTTATTTTTTGCTTTAAAAGTAAACCGTTGCGATTCTCAAATAGTGGACAAAACGCTTGCTCATTACGAGTACAGATAGCACGATACATCAAGTCAAAAATTGTCATCGAAGTAAAATAAAATGAGGTCAAAGTAGCGGATGAGGGGTGGTCAAGATTTGGATTTGGTAACCCTCAACCATCCGGACCTCGGAGGATACATGTGTGCGTGAACAATTTATATCCTCTTACTCTGATATCGCTTCCGTGTGGGATGCTTTGTCTCTGCGCTTGCGTAAAAAGCCCATTCAAATGCACTGATTTCCTCTCGTTCTACCCTATGTTTCATGTAGTGTAAATAACCTATGATAAGAACCAAGTTGGTAAATGATACGTTCATTGGTTAACCTCACGCAAATTGAGTGGATATGAGCAGCTAGCCAACTACAAATTAGAGCACTGCTGACATAACTTTGGCTAGTATATACCAATATCTACATGACTTTTGTTTCATTGTTGCCATAATCGATAGTTTGTTTAAATCATTTTGAGCGTCTAAGAAATGTTTCACTAGAAATTGAACAAAGGGACAATCCTAAAAATTCTTAGAAAGGAAATTTCTTGACATAATTTGCTGACCTTACTGCTGTCCAGCTGTGATTGTCACAAGCAAGAGAATATAATTTTGCCACAAGTTAATTTCACACCTCACTGAAGCCTGATCGGGGCGTTTTTGAGCTTGACGCAAGACTTTGCATTCAAAAATAAATACAATAGATTGTGTTTGAATATTAGAGGCGAACTCCATGTGTATTCAGATATTACTGTCTCTCATGACAAATTTTGTTTAACTGCTGATGGTTGCGAAACATCAAATACCAAACTGATGACAAATATTTCTTCTAAACCGTTCGTTTCTTCGATCTCCTCTCTCAAATTTGGTGTAGAAACACCAATCTTAACTCAGAAGAAATGTACTTCAATACGGTTCGAAGACAGCCTGTTTACAAACTCTGTGTTGTGACTTACATTTTCAGTTTACGTATGCAAATTTAGAATCATTGTTATAAATATCAATGGGACAATACAAGAAAACAATGAAAGCAAAAATAATGAGCAAACTGGCTACTTAAATTTGAGTGAAATAAGTTAATAAAGTTCTTTTTCGTCCACAGCCGAATGATACTAGCAAAGTTCTATCTGCATTTTTTCATAGGATCCAATAAGAAGACAAAGAGAAGGAGGCAGTATAGTCAGAACAAATTAATTGAAAATGCAATTGTGAAAATCAAGCGATTCCTGAAAATAGAATAATTTAGTGGGTTATTCACTGTAAACAATAACTCTGCTAATTTTTCTTACTATAAGTAAAAATTTAGTTGATGCCGAAGTAGAGCGCGATATTCTAATTTTATTTTCAGAAACCAAAACATTTTAATTCTAATTTGTAGTTTACGCCAATTTCAAGTAAACAGAAAGGCTTTTGCACCGTATAAATTAAATACTTTCATATCCTAGAAAGCTCTTTCATCTTATTTTTCAATCATTTTAGAGATCCTAACTATTACGTGCAGTCACCAAACGCAGTTGCAGCACTTAACGAGTTTAGATATGAACTTTTTTGGGGCCATTTTGATCATTCTATATAAGGCGCAATTTTCAATGGAAACGTTACTTATTTTGTCCATGCTCAATAAATCACTATTTCCGAGTCATCTTTTTATCATTTGTTCAGTTTCGTTCAGTTTTTATCGGTTGTTCAGATAAGGTTTTGCTGCCCCCACCTATCTCTCTTCAAAAAAAGGTTCACAAATGCCGCATTGGGTAAACGTTTTAAGTATTCGACATAGCTACATTTTACTTAGCCCTTTACATCCCGAAATTGGTTTCCAAGTTCTCCGCACTGTTCTATATAGGTTTGCTAAGGTGCAAAAGAGAATTTGCTTAACAATCAAGAGCTTCTTAAGTTAGATATCTTTCTTTTTTTATTCTCATGACCCTAATGTTTGATTCAGGGGTGATACTGCTGGGAGAATTTAGATACTTATCACTCCTAGGGATGTTCCTCTCTATCTTGTTCTCTCATGGTATTCAGAGACAGACTTAATTTCATGAAAAACTAACGGCTTTGTATTTAAAAAATGTAATAATTTTGTATATCAATTTTTATAAATATTAATTTTCGTCTGCCGTACAATAACATATTCACCATTTCCACCAGTTATCTATATTTTTCTTGTGACTTCGCAATATTCGTTTTTGATTGTCCTTCAAATACATATTATTAAAATTCTGACATTTCCCTCAAGTCACTGAGTTATCTGAATTCAACTAGGTATCATTGCAACTCTGAACAATTGAGTCCCTTTCTCTGTAAAGAGTACCAGCTGAATCAGGAAAAAAGCGGCTAAAACAAACCGTTGAAAAAACAGGTTTGCCATGAACCATTTTAAAACCTATCATATCCTCAACTACGTATGCGAAAAAAATTCTAAAAATTGATTGTTCTTAACAGCCCTTTTAATCGCTTAATTTTTTTGATGCTTCACCAGAACTGTCTGATCTGATTAGAAGCTGCTTGCTATCGGACAGTTTGGCAGCCAAATAAAATTAAGAGATAAAAGGTATTACTCAATAATATCTGACTGCCCAGTCCAGGAAAATCAGTTAACATGTAGTAAAAAATCCCTTGTTGCTTGCCTATCTTTTGGTCAGCTCGAGAACAAAAGCGGTAAAAGTTCTTGATCTAAAGACTTCCGAAAGCCTCTTTGGCAAAATAACTTTAGGAAGATGGTAAAGTGCTCTTCCCTCAAATATTTCCATGGTATTTGCATAAAAGGAGCAACTCTCAAAGAAACTTGTGTTTTAAAATCCAACGAGCTCGTATTTGGTAGAAGAAAAACAAACGCAGCTAAGGCAACTCTCACCGACAGCATCTTAAACTTTTTCTAAATTAGATGTCGAGGTATTAATTAGTGATTGCCCATGATCCTCTTGAACTGTGACAGTATTTGGGGATTCAACGTATTCGTACTTTCTAGCAAGGAAAACAAAAAGGAGGAAATTCGCGAACATCACAGCAGCGAGGAAAAAGAAATAGTTTTCTAGTTTGCCCGCGTTCAAATCCTGCGGGTACCAAGAGCCGTCACTAGCATTTTTCGCTATCGCTGCCAGAGCCCCAGCAACATAGAAGCCTATTCCAATGGTGGCCAGGTTAAGGCCCATGATCACTCCACGAAGATAGAGAGGGGACTGGGAGTAAGCAAATGCCAGCCCTAGAATGAGGAAAGAAGGCGAAAAGTTAATCTTTCCAAGAAATTAGTATGGTTTAGCAGGTTATAACTTACTCTAAACAATAAGTTATTTTAAAGTGAATGATTTTCAAGTCATTATTCCCAGTTCTAGAGGATAACATCTACGATTATCTTTCAGTTGTGTAGGCGCTTTCTTTTCGGAGAGCATGAGGCAATGTTGTAAATCAGTTGTTGGCTAACTTTCCGTTGCTTAATTTACTGAAGCCAAGCCAGTGACTTCGCCTCCCTCCCTAAAAACCTGTAAAGGGGGTGAATCAAGGTTACAACTAGAAGCATCTCAAACAGTGTAACCCTTTCAGTCACATGATTGTTATCCAAGAAAACCCCACAAGAATTGCTTTGGTGCAAATTGCCTTCCCCCCCCCCCTCCTTCTTGGAAATAGCACAATCCATATCACGCGATCTTACACCGCAAACGGTACATCGGCACAGATCGTTTTGCTTTTGTGGTGTCTGTAACGCATTGTTTACTGACAAGGTGCACTTTAGCGTTGGAAAAATGTCTCAGGCCTACTTGTTCCAGTTCATCTTCAGATGACATGTTAAAACATTCGAAAACCAAAACAAAAAACCATCCTAACACGTTAAGGCTTTAATAATTATTAAATTATAATTAAGTGAATTATCATTCCTTTATGACAACAACAGTGACAAATCCGTTGCTATTAGGTTGTAAGTGCCCCTAAGGCACGGGTTTATCCCTTGTTTTGATTTAGTAATCGTTTAATTAATAATCTGTAAAAGTCACACTAGGTGCCTCGTCACGCGTTCCGTAAGTGGTATCGCATTTCCAAACAGAACGGATCTATTGTGCAATTCAATAATTCGATCGATTTCGCAAGCACTCGTGGTTTAATAGAAAGAAATTGTCTGTCGTTTTTATCGAAGGAAGGAAAGGTCCTTTTGTGTCAACTCTCGCCAGATCCGGCAACAATGTAAGTTTAATTTACCTCGAGTGTTTCTATAGCTAATTTCTTGTCCCTAATTTTGTGAATCAATTATTTTTAGCTTCACGGTCAAATACGACATTTAATAAAGGAGGCGTTCCATGAAAGAAATTGGGGCGATATTTGTTGTGTCGATCAGTGAGATTCGTACGGTCCAGCTAGCGGCGATCAAGCGTCGCTATATAGGTTATTTGGAAAATATCCAGACCACGCTGGACATCCTTCATTCACTTTCACAGCTTACCTGGAATCGAAGTCAGTACTTCCCCAGTTCCCTGGAGCACGTATTGAGGGACTTGATAAAAGATGTTCATTTGTGAGGCATTTACTGGAGTATCGAACGGATGCTGTTTAAAATAACCATGTGTGTCGATGTATTTTTTTCTTTCGATCTCCATAAACCCTGCCATGAGGACAGACCCCATGGCAAACAACATTCCGACACCCATTTTCTTCAGGGGGGTGAAGTCGATGCCGAAGTAACGGAGGGATGGGTAAATAATGCGATCCACAATCGGTATGAGGATTAATAGCATGGTGATCTCGAAGAGATACAGAGAGGCCGCCGGCATTGTAAAGTGCTCGGACAGTTTGAGTTTCATGAAAGAACCTTGAAGGAGGTAGCTTGTTTGGCCCTAGGAGGAAAAGCAAGAAAAGTTGTAGACGTCACTTAAGTTCCCTTATCAGAGTACCAGCAAGATCACCAAGGTTATTATAAGGGAAGGAAAGGTACCGTTCGTGGGTATGGCCTTCGCAGTGCCTTATCTTTGTTGTTGTCGTTGTTGTTGTTGTTGTTAGTATGACGGAGGTGAAAGCTTATCATATTTGTCAAAAACCTCAAAGTTAGCATTATATATTATACAAACAGCGTACTATTGTCCATGCAGAAGGAGTTTAGTATCCCTTTGCCCTGAGGATTATACGCTAATAAATGTGTAGTGTTTTAAACAGCAATGAATGCGCATTCGAACCGCCGAAATAGCACAATTTCACTATTCTGCGCCTTAAAGGTACACACATCGCCCATATCAGCCCCTTATCCCCTAAATATGATGTAAGCACAACGTTCATGCAAACATTGCAAATATCTGGTGTCTTATGTGGAGGGGCGTAGCGAAGTAACATCTGGTTGAATAAGAAACCTTTTCATTAGTCGGCATCTGAGTCAATCTGCAGAGAATCATTACTTATATGACTAAAATAATCTGAATGAGACCCCTCAGTTAGTATCCATCTCTTAACGCTTACCTGTCCATAAATCGTCCAGTATAAGATAAATGTAAGAAATATTGGAACTATTTTCAGCACTGACTTGACATCTTCGACTCTTTGATCTTTGTAAGTTCCTCCCAGACTCTCTTTAGCCCGGTCTAGCCAGTGGGACCCAACTTGCGCGCTTCTCCGACATCGAATCTTCTTTAATCCCTGACATATTATCTTCAGTGTTTCAGATAGGTAACTTCCTTTATGCTCATGAGTAATGTAGTATTTTCTACCACTTACGAATAATATGACTGCCAAGAACATTGACAGAGCGGTTATGACGTAACCATAGAAGAACGACACCTCTTGCTGCACCGAAACGACTGCGGTGTAAGCTAAAAAAGATCCTAACTGAATGAACCAGTAAAACCAGTCGAAGAACCGCTGGACAATTATGGGCCCTTCATTCTCGATCTGATCTGCCCCTAAAGGGGATACATTGGCTTTGATTCCACCGGTTCCGACAGAAATGAGAAGTAACGCAATTCCCAAGAATGCCTCTTTACTTCCGGTGCTCAGTCCATATATGGCACCATAGTCGAATGTCGCAGCACCCAGAACAATGGCACCAACCACATAAAGCAAAGAGCTTCCATATATGGTGTTGTAACGCCCTAGAAAAGTATCTGCCACCCAGCCACCGATCACAGGTGAAAAAAATGAGGTGCCTTGAAGAAAAAAAGAACTAAGTTAGATTTCAAGGGAAATTCTTGAGTCAATGTAAAATTGCGTCTGAATCTGATATCTCATTGACATCCGTAATAGTTCAATCAAATCATCTTGTTTTACATGTTGGTACATATAACTTCCAATGAATGACACAAAAGTACTGAGAACTAACATGAAATGCCCTATAATGGGTGGCTCACCTCCCATGTGATGGGAGGTGGGCCACAAAAAAAACCAGCAGGAAAATGAGGGCTTACTCTGATTTAATTTTCGACTTTCTCTCTTACATGCCTTTTTAATTAACAGCTTGCAGCACTGAGCAGGAAAAACAATTTTTAGGAAGACAGGTAGACTAGCATTATTTAAAAAGGTAAGTCACAACTGACCACAACATGGAAAATCTTTGGTGAAGCATCTTCATCAAGCATTTAACTCCCAAAAATGATTAACATGTAACTTCTCCCTATAATATCCACAATTATTTTCTAGCAAACAGGCGATCTGGTGATCAGATCTTGGGAGTAGACGTTTAAAAAAGAAAACAAAAAAAATAATGTTGACATTTCACTGTAGCGACACAGTAAACTTGAACATCAAACAACAGTGAAGGCAGTGCTGCCTGTTTTAGATCTTTCTGTCTGTTTAGATCTTTCTTTTGTCTTGTTAATACAAGACCTGTTTAACATTATGTAATGACATGTTAGAGAGAAGTTATTGGTAACTCACAATGGAGGTCAAATTTATAGGTTTTACCCTTTTAGATATTATCATTTACAAATGATTGATGAATAACTTCTCCTAAGATTGAAACTTTAACACACTGTCAATCAAACAGGCTAGCCTCACTTTATGCTAAAAAAGAAATTAATTCCAAAATATCTGGCCCTAATTGTTTGAAGGGCAATTGCAATGCTTCTTAAATGCAAATGTCTATCAGAACCCAAAGTTGCATTTCCTCAGGGCTCTGATCTGGCTCATTTGTGCTATTTACACTGAGAAACTCATGGCTAGCTTTACAAAGAAACTGCTTGTCCTTATAAGAATCCTGCTTATCTCTGATTGTTCAACCACAAAGTCAATTTGTAGGACATCATTCAATCAAGATTATTACTAACATGCAAAAAATAAGGGGATTAAGTTTCTAGAGAAGCTGTGGTGCTGCATCAGTGGGAGGATATCTCAGGGTAATTAAGTATAATCAACTGAGTTGATAACTTAAATTGGCCACCTTAACGAGTTTTAAAGCTGACATTTCGTCATTCACTCTGACGAGGGGCAAATGTTCAAATTGTCAGCTTTGAAACTCTTAAAGGTGGCCAACGTAAGTTATCAACTCAATTGATAATACTTAATTATCATGTAAAAGAAAGAGTTTATTAGACAAAAAAATCACAGTAATCTACCTTGAAATGCAAGACTGATACTGCTGGGCAATGGAGCCTCAAGCTTCAAGTAGTCTCTGCAGTACAACACAAGGTTTGCCACAATACCATAAAATGTGAGACGTTCACATAGCTCTGTAAATAAAATGCACACCACCAACAAGATCCTGGTTCTTCTTCCAATGTGCTCAGGATGAGAGTCTGCTAATGCATTACTTCTGCTGGCCCCACCAAAGATAGGCTCCAGCTCTGGATCTTTCTTATTTCTCATGGCTGGCTCATAAAAAGAGGTTTGATTTAGTAAGAATATTATGATAAGATTAACAATTAAATTAGAGGTAAAGATCAGACAGTTGCAAGAGCTTCTTCTGTACACCACCCCACTAACTCTGTAAAATTTGATTTGGTTTTGCTCTTTTCATGAAATGGTCTGGCCTATGAATGAAATATTTGAGCAATAGAGAGCACTTTGGATGGTTAATACCTGAGTGCAATAATCTACGCAGGATCTGGGAGAACATGTCAGGATAGTTTGTACATCATGAAACTGGGTTATTACACCAGTAAGCCAATTGAAAGCACACTATATAGCTTTTTATAAAATAAACTTCAATTTTCTATGGATTTACTGGTGCAATAAATGAACAATTTTTGGCCAATCAGGGTGCTTATAGTTTCTCAGTTATTTTGGTAAGAGTGGTTGAGGTCACACTGCATTTATTTAGCAAATGATGCTTCAATAAAATAATAATAAATAAAAATGAAATAATTGCAAGAAGACAACCATTTCTCATTGTTCCAATGTGGTAGCATTGTGAGGATTTTCCTTTTTTTTCTGAAGACCCCTCACTCTCATTGTAAGATGACATATAAGGATTACTGTTTTTTTCAGTACCTAAAAAAATATCCCCATGGAATCTGAATGGTGTTAGTTTCTTAGTTTAAAGAAGGAAAAAGAAAACTGTCCCAACTAAACCTTAGGGGAGGAAGGAAGGGGGAATGGAGGGGGGAGAGGTAAGTAATTGCAGTGAGGTCCAATTTAACTTCCAAAACCTTGTATACCCTTGCTCGATTCCTTTATTTACGCCATACTATTTCTACTCAAGGTAATTCTGAGGGTTACTCTAGGTTAGGCGTTTTTTTCCCAGGTTAAGGTCGACAAGTTATGAATTTGCACACATCTTTTATTTTATTTTATTTATTACAATTTAATGGCACATATAACTTACTACTTACTTACATACTTACATTAATAGATAATAATACAAAAGAGTAAAAGGAAAGGTGCCATAAGGATGGTCCGCAAAAGAGATAAATCCCCATGCACGGCAGACCACCTTTAACAAAAAAAAAAACAAATCCAAACTAAAATCAATCAGATCTTGCAGTCAAGTAATCCCTTACACCCCTTTTAAAACAAGAAACACTTGGAGCCTGACGGACCGATAGTGGCAGCCCATTCCACATGTGGACAATCCTATTAAAATAGCAAAACTTAAAAGTATTAGTCCTCGCGTAGTTCTTTTTTAATTTAAGTTCGTCCTTACCCCTCAACGAGTATCTTTCCGAATGCGAATAAAATTGGATATAAGAGGATATATCTATATTAATATACTTATTGCATATCAACATGTAACTTTTAGGAAAACAGTATCTTCTAATATCCTTTATTACTAAGATAAACTCGAAGTGCTTTCGAGTCATCTTCTAAAGAGAAATCTTGATGAATTAAATGCATAGCCAAAAAATTAGTTACTCGTGATAAGTCGATCCTTGTGTTATTTCAGCAACTACTAAGACACAAAACTCACCAAAGATATGCGTTCCTCCAGTCACTCGTGCGGTTAATATATAGCTTAAGGTCAACTTCGTAGCTACGTATTAGACTTTTGATCTTTAGACGAAAGCAAATCGTATTACGCAAAGGTAAACTTCGAATAATGACGAAATAAATTCACGGTGTGCGATTTAAATAGCAAGTCACGGTAGTTTCGTGACCAGAATGTCACGGGACTGTTGTCTTAATTGTCACAAGATATCACGTGAGCACCTTACCTCATCAAACTTCGAGGTTGAGAAGCGGCAGGTATGGAGAATTTTCGATGGTATCAGTTTTTAAAAAACAGACGATGTGTCAGCGGGCAAGAGCTCTTGAAAGGCTTATCATAATCTAAAGGTTGATAAAAATAGGTAATACGTTGTAATGAAAATTAATTGAAGCCCGACGCTCTTAGCAGGAAAGTAATGGTGAAGTGGGTGGAAGACGATCAGGGGGTACTGTCTGCCTTACAATTCTTCCCTTGCAAACTGAATTCCCAGTTTCCTGGGAATTGGTAGGAATTCCTAGGAATTCCTAGGAATTCTCAATCGTCTAGAAGCAGAGAACCGGTCGGAGAAGTCAGATTAAAGTTGTGCGCTTCTCCTAACAATGCAATCAGCAAGCCAGCGGATTCACTTTGCTAGCCAATGACAAGTCCTAAACGATCCACGTGATCATGCCCGTGATCGGAAACAAAGAAGACTCCATTAGGCGCTCATCTTTGTATGTACTTTTCATCGGTTGATCGCTTTTCTCAACTGTTTTGCTTAATATAACATTTATAAAAGATAGCTTTTATTGTGGTTCAATGGGAAAACGAGAACAGCGTGAGTGTTGTAAAAGAAAAGAAAGTCGTTGGCGCCGTGGAGTTAAAAGAAGGGACAACAGTTGACATATTGACCGGTACAAACAAGGGTCGAGTGGCCATCTGTAAAGCTACGATTTTGAAAGTTTGTGGTGAGTAAAAATTGCGATATTCGTTACGTGATCAAAATCTTATAAAAGAATAGATGTAACGGGTTGAATTAAGCTTACATAACGCTCGGCGCAAATGAAACTAGAATAATTCTGAGAATCGAATCGGTCACTTGCATGCCACGTTTTTTTAGCTTATGCTTTGTATATGTAATCACATGAGGTCAAGTACTATTAAGGATTAATTGCACGAGAGTTTTCAAAATTTTCCAAAATTGCCCGAGTCGCGAAGCGACGAGGGCAATTTGGAAAATTTTGAAAATTCAAGTGCAATTAATCCTTAATAGTACGAGGTCTCATGGGATTACTTGTTTATCAATAAAGGGCAAAATTTATACGAAGGAAAATCACGCGCGCAGTCTATTTTTAAAAAATTTCAAGATAACGAACGGTTGCTATGCAACGGATTAGCCAATCATTAACAGGTAATCATGCCCTCTCTTGATTACTAAAAATGCCCTCGATTAAGAAAAAATGCCCTCTCTCTCAACCAATCAGCGCTCAGTAATTTTGCCCTTTATTGATAAACAATGAAATAAACCTATCAGTAAGGTTTCAAGATTCCTTTAGTCACGTTTGGGAACATTCAAGATTCATAATAGGAACTGTTATTAAACAAACCTTATAACATAAAGAAGCCCTCCTTGGTAAAATCAAAATAATGTATTCAGCCCTTTTTTAGTAAAATCTATGAGAGAGATGTACTAACTCCAATATAAAAGTCACTCAATATAACAGAGATTTCTCAATTTGAGAATCCAATGAATGCCCTTTTCCTCATAGCCATCTTAAAGGCCTGGTCTGAGCTTTAAATATATAAATAAATATATATATTTAAATATATATTTTTTTCAAATTCAGATGGCATGGAACCCAGATACAAAATGGTCAACCTTCTTGTTGACAACCTCATTCAAGGCCAACTCATTGTGAGCCCAGGAAAAAAATACAAACAGCAGCTAAGTTTGCAGTTTAGGATAACTTCATTCTAATTTATTGTTACAGTTACAACAAGATTTTAATCAAAAAATCAATTTTATTTGTCTGTAATTAACCCCTTCACTCCTACAAGTGCTAGGTTTTCAAATATAATTTAAGATATTGTATTTTATGGAAAAGAATCAACAGATTTTATTCACAATTTGTGTCAAACCAAATTTAATGATTGATTAGGACTATTTTATATGAATAGCTGTAATTGAGGATTAATCCTTATGAAGTTTTCAAGAAAAGAAAAATCAAATTCCATCCTAATATTACCACACATTGATGTTAATAATGAATCAAAAATATTTTACATGTAAGCCTTAAGAGCTTCTAAATAAATTTCATTGAATACTTGAATTTTAGCTGGGTTTTTTAATTTAAAGTATTTATTTTATATCATTAGCCTCAAATTTTTGCTTAAAATTCCCAGTAATTCTTAAATATTCCTAAAAATTCCCAAAAATTCCCAGAAATTCCCAGGAATTTTTTAGATTTACAGCTTTTCAGGGAAAGTCATTGGTTCTCTGAGTTGGAATTCCTAGGAATTCAATTCCTGTTGGCTATAAACTTGGAATTTCTGGGAATATCTGGGAATTTCTAGGAATTTCTAGGTTTTTAGAACAAGAGTTTTTATGGTTGGAAATTCCTAGGAATTCCTAGGAATTCCCAGTCCGAATTTACCGTGAAAATTCACACCTTTATTCCTAGGAATTCCTAGGAATTCCAAAAGCCATTTCGCAAGGGTTGTAATCTAGGTATTGGTTTAACTTATAATCTACTAGTAACTATCTTTCATTATTCCCATCACTTGTCCTTTAGATTATTATTTTTATTGATATTGTGAGGAAATCTGAGATATTTGCTCAACTTTTACAGGATAATTATACCTATATGCGAAGAATTCATGTTTCTCGCGTCGTCAGTAAGATCAATGTTCCCATCATCATAAGTTCTGGTGTGGAAATATTCCAATCACGATCGCTTTCTGAAGTAGGTTCCTGAAGTAACAATAATCACTGACACTCAGATGTGTTATTGTTCTAGTGTGTGCCAGAGATACCAAAAAATAATTCTTTCAATTTACAGGAAAATGGATGGAAATTAAACTTGTGATGTGCAATTTTGTTTCATCAGCTGCCCAACACTTGCTATTCACTTCCACATTAACCAATCAGTGCACACTAGAAGCACTATTTTCACATGTGGTGTGTAGTAATATAAATTGTAGTATTCTTAAATGGTAAAAACTTGCCAAAGAGTTGATTTATTTTGCAGCTTTTTTGTCTCCTTTTTTTTTAACATTAATTTTTTTCCACCACTACCTCCCACAGAGTTTGGATCTGCTTTTTACACTCTCTCCTGGCAATAGAATCCAAACTCCTTGAACTTTTGTACCTGAACTATGGTCAGAACACTTACTGGAAAAAAATAGAACTACTTTTTTCATTAGTTCCTATCAAATGTAGTTTAATGGCCAGAACATTTTAACATACTTTTAGATGATTCACACTTGAACTATATTCTTAAAAACTACACCAGTGGTGCAACCTCTTCACTTTGATTGCTGACATTGTCTCAAAAACCATGCACTAAGGACTTCCTACATGGCAGGTGCACACAACAGTTTTTGCACATTCAGCAGAAAATTGACACATGTCACTCAGCCATGCACAGATGAAACACTAACAGTCAGTTCATGGGCATCCTGGTACTCCTTCACTTTGTGGGGATGATTCCTTGTATTTGTAGGAGGATGCAATGAACAGAAACAACAAGAAATTAAGTGTCATTAAACCAGCCATCATGAAGAAGAAGTACTCCATATGACCCTGATTGGGATCCTTCTCAGGGTACCAATCACTGTTGACAACAGCAACTAGAAAGTTTGCAATATAGCTTCCTATGCCAGAGGCTGAGAAAAAAAGGGCTATGATCACTTCTTTAAGGTATTCAGGAGCCTGTGAATATGCAAATTCCGGACCTGCAGATACAAAGAGACAGAAATCACTATGGATTTTTACAAATTCCCCTCATGGAAAAACATGGAAATTTCTCATGTAGAGAGGGCTGGGGATGTAAGACACAGTGAGACAATTTTTTTCCGTAGGTTCCTGAAGTGACTATAAGTAACCAAGTCAAACTCCTTCCATTACCCATCATGTCTCCTGAAACGTTTCATAAGATGGTTAATTCATAATGAAGAGAAGGAGACTAGGTTAACATTTTTAAAGGCTTAGGGCAGTAGTGTCAAAAAACCAAAACAAAACTTATCCCAGTGATCAATCAGAACAAAGGTCTACAAATTATCATTCACCAATAAGAACTCAAAGTGACAACAAGCAAACTGCTTGGAGCATGGGAAAATGTGAATGATCAAGCCATAATTGTTTCTATAGTTTTGCATCTGATTGTTGAGAGGATGACACAAGATGTCTGGACCAATCAGACAGAGCAAAGTTAAGTAAAATTGAAGTCATCCCAGATTACTTTCAATATCCACTTGACAATTGCTTAAGAAAAACATCAGTGAAATTCACCTACCAGTAATAGTTGCAAACACTTCACCAGATCCAACCAATAAGTACTGTGGTGCTTGCCAGAAAATACTGAAACATGAGGCACTATGACTCTCATTAAAAACCGTCTGTATACATATGTTCCCCTGTTGCCACACTGTCCGTCGTTTTATTTCAATCAGCCCAGCTACAAGCATAGAAGCTGCTGATAACATGAACCCTAGACCAATGCGCCGCAAGGCTGTCAACTTGATCCCACTGCGCTCAATTTGAGGATAAATTGCATGGTTCACAAGGGGAACAAGCACCAGAATAATAACTATATCAAACAATGACAAAGATGCGGCAGGCACAGAAAAGCCATCAAAATTTAGCTTCATGTATGTACCTTGAATAAGAAATGATGTGGACACCTGAAAGAAAAGAAAAGAAAAAGTACCATAAAGGATGCTCAGTTTAGTAGACTGTATAGTCAGTTAAGAAATTTTATTGTTGGTACAGAAAATTGAATTATGTTAAATCCAATGATTTGTTTTGAAAAACAATTGCAACATCAACAAATAATATGGAATTTCCATTTTTCCAATTCATTACAAACAAAAAACATTCCTTCATGTAATTAACTGTTGGGATTTCATGATGGCAAAGCCTTACCTGGGAGAAAACTGAAAAATAAAAGATGAAAGTAATGAACACAGGAAGTAGTCTTAACACAGCCTTGACATCTTCAACCTGATCATCACCAAACTTTCCTCCAAATCTGCTCTTTGCTCCATCCATCCAGCCACCAGTGTTTTGTTTCCGATTTTTTATGGCATTGTGAATTATTTTTGCAGTTTCAGTTAGTTGGCTACCACCTGGTGGCTTGACCAAGTACCTATTACGACAGGTAATAAATACAATGATTCCAAGGAACATAAAACCCACTAGGATGGCATAACCAGAGAAAATATCTTTTTGCTGGACTGCAACCACCACAGTAAAAGCTAGGAGGGCTCCAATGTTAATGAACCAATTAAAATAGTTGAAAAAGGTCTGAACAGCTCTTGGACCATCCTGTTTCA